GGTCATGATTGTTGGGGTTAATGGAGGTGGAAAGACTACATCACTCGGTGAGTCACAATATAGATTGCTATTCAAGTAGAAATTTTAAAACTAGTTGAAATATGCAGTTTCTTGTAATCTTTCTTCTATGAAATATGCAACTTTTGTAGAGTAGGGATAGGGATTGCTATATTTTCTGTGTTGGCAAGCAAATTATGCCTTATTTTCTATAACAAGAAAATGATGATCTGACCAACCCCTTGCAGGAAAGCTGGCTTATAGATTAAAGAATGAAGGGGCAAAGGTGAGATGTTATTGCTTGGCATTGCTTCTATTGCAGTTTGATAAATCTATCCAAATCGTGCATGAGAAAAAAGAAAAAATCTAGAATTTCATCTGCAATAACGAAGTTCTTATAACTCCTCCTCTTGATGTTCTTGTATGGACCTAGTATAGTAGGAAAATAGTTTTTGTCAACCACTTGAAGTCATAGAACTGTTATGGGGCGGAGATTAATGTTCTTGACATCAAACCTTTAAGATTATATTTCCAAGTATATCAGGAAAATACATTATGTTTTCAGAGTCTATTCTGGTATCTGATATTGCATTTGCAAAATTGGTGGATATTTGGAGCTTGTATTTTGGCAGTCAGAAATAATGGAGGAACTGGATCTGAAGTCTATTTCTGAAGACCTACTATTATTTTGTTTTGTTACTTTCAAAGAGCATGTCTCAATTAAAAGTAGTGTTTGTAATCTCCATCACCTTATGGTTTAGAACTCTGCCAGATATTGATGGCAGCAGGAGACACATTTAGAGCAGCTGCTAGCGATCAACTTGAGATATGGGCTGAGAGGACTGGCTGTGAGATTGTTGTGGCTGAAAAAGAAAACGCTAAAGCATCATCAGGTAGGAAAAAAATGTCTAGTGGAATCTTGTTGCTTTTATTCTTATAGTGGCATCGAAAAATCTCGGACATGGTGTAATTACTAACATATAATCTTAAAGTGCTTCCTGAATAGTTCTTTCACAGGCTGTAAAACGAGGGAAAGAACAGGGTTTTGATATTGTTTTGTGTGATACATCTGGACGTAAGTACAGAGAGGTTCCACTGTTATTCATATATACTGTTATTTGCTTCTTAGTTGGTAAATTGTAAACAGAATCTTTATTGATTATCAGGTCTCCACACTAACTATAGCCTGATGGAAGAGTTGATAGCATGTAAGAAAGCTGTGGGCAAAGTTGTTTCTGGCGCACCTAATGTAAGCTCTACTCTTTGTTACCTTAACATCTGGCATTGAAGTAATTTTGGGATATGTGGCATACAGACACATCCTGTCCAACTCAATAGATTAAACAGTGAATTTCTTGCTTTTTATTTGGCAGCTACTGTGAGTTAAATTCTGTCATTAAGGACCATCCTCTTTGGTTATCTGTTAACAGGTTTCTCAAATTATAAATAATTTAATTTCAAGCATAATCATTAATGAATCTTGGTGTTCTTTAAATCTCTATCCCATCTGGTCCATAGGATTAGTTAATGCAAGTTTTCTAATACGTTTCTGATTATTGATTTTGGATAATGCATAAATGGTTTGAATAGGAAAATTTATTCTGATTTGTGATTCAATTTGGATTTGTGTATTGCCGTTTCCTATTATTTGCAGGAGATTCTACTAGTTCTAGATGGGACCACTGGTTTGAACATGCTTCCACAAGCAAGAGAGTTTAATGAAGTAATATTCCCAACCTCTTGCCTCCTGTGTTATTTTTCCTGATTTGTAGTATACTTCACACAAACATAAAAACCATAGCCAAGATGAATTGGAGGGGAACATCCAAGTTGTTTTGTTGACAGTCTAAAAGCCTCTCACATTCTTTTCAGCTAAAAGACATATAATTAACAGCCACTTGCTAAATTGTTTGAGCAAAAACTTTTCTGACAGGTTGTAGGAATAACAGGGTTGGTTTTGACAAAGCTTGATGGTTCTGCTAGAGGTGGCTGTGTGGTAACTCCCTATCTCAACCTTCATTGTTATATGGCTATGACTGCAGTGGTTGCCAACTCCATATCTCAAATCTATGATTTTGATAATCAGTGAGATTGTATGTCCCTCATATAGGTAAGTGTGGTTGATGAGCTTGGCATCCCTGTAAAGTTTGTGGGTGTTGGTGAAGGTGTAGAGGACTTACAACCCTTTGATGCTGAAGCATTTGTGAATGCCATATTTTCATGAGACGCAAAGTGTGGTGAGTGGACTTAATCCTGACTTGACTTGAGAGCCAATTGTCACAACTTAGTTGGCCATTCGTTTTACCACAGTTTGATATGAAAATCTCAACAAGTAATGCATTTCATTGGCCTTGTGATTTCAGATCCACTGTTTTTACAGTCAACTATAAGTTTTTCGTGTAAACCGGCAGAGGCAGGCAATTAGGCGCCACACCGTTGCTAACATGGCAGCATTTGGGGTTACAAAGTGCATAACAAATTCATAACGGCGAGATTTGAGGTTGTTTTGGCGGATTTGTTAGTTGCTGGTTGAACCGGGCATGATTCTTCCCCATCTTTTTAAAGCTGATAACCTCAATATGCCCTGAGCGAAAGATAATTTTGTCTCCTCTATTACCGAGACTCATAATTGAAACTGAAATGTGGACTTATATGTGCTTCCGAAATCTTAAGTCAACATAATATGTTTCTATTTCTACCACTGGGTATTGGTTTTTGATCGTTTATTTTTTGTGCAATCGAGTGTAGTTAATATAAATATTATTCCCTACGTTTCCCTATTTTCCTACTATCCAAACTTACCAAAATGCATATTTTTTTTAATATTCAAAATTTTTTTCAAAATCAAATCTTATTCTATTCAATTCAAAACCTTAATAATTAAATTTTTTTAATAAAAGTTTTAAAATTAATAAAACAATAATATTATACTTACAAAGATTTCTATACAAAGTGAGGTGACAGAAAATGAATGGAATGACAAAAAATGAATGGAAGAGTGTAGTATTAAATTTATTCTTTTATTCATTTTTTGTTCCATCATTTTGTATGAAGATTTTTATAAAATTTCTTTGTAAGTGTAGTATTATTCTTAACAAAAATACTTCCATCCATTCAAGCCATTATCCCTCGTTAGCAGTCACCACCGACGCCAATTGTACGCACGATTGGTTGAATTTGAACGATCATGTGTCGATCTATCCGTTTCCAACTTGATTTACAACGGAGTTGGCTAAAAAGGGTCAAATCTGGTTGTTAACGGTGGCATATCTTGGTCATTATTGACAGCCAAACGATTGCCAAATATCTTGGCCGAAGATCTGATCAAAAAAAGCCATATCAACGCACGATCGACTAGAGACAGTTGGTCGTGCGCCATTTCAACCATCTTCCGGTGGTGGCTAGCTGTCGGCAATGTGTGGGTGAGTGAGAGTGTTTTTGTCAATTTATAAACTCTTATGGTCGGAGGTGTTTAGTTAAATCAACAAAATTATGGGTTAAAAATAATCTACATATTTAAAATATGTACCAAAAACTTTTAAGAATCTTATCATATTTTCCAAAAATACTATTCAGCATAGGATGCTATTCTAAAATATTAAGTGTAGACGTAAAAATCTACTTGTACAGAATGGGGGTCTGATCCCGTGAGATTGAGGCCACTAGCGATCCGCTGTACCTGCACGTGTAGAAAAACAAACGCGTGAAGCGAACGAGAAACACGGGGGTGGTGTTTGCCGTAGGCACTCCGACGCTCAAGTCAGCAAGGCTGAAAGAGGCTAGTATAGTGAGGGCTAAAGAGTAAAGAGGTTACCGGAAGTCTAGTCGGGGACTGTGACTACGGCAGTGATGTAAAGCTTTCAAGTAGGAGCTTCAGATGTGAAGGTGTATTGTAGTGTGTCCTTTGTGAGAGGGCTGGCCTCTGTTTATATAGCGATTGTCTGGTCTTTCAATCTTAGTGGGAGTAGGAGGCCTAATGTGACTCTGATGCAAACCCTAGAAGAATTAGGGCCATGGTATGCTATCTTATCAGTGTCCGAATAGGAAGGTGATTCTGATCAGGAAAGTAACTTTGAATAGGGAAGTGTTCTAAATAGGAAAATGACTTCGAGTAGGAGACTGATTAGGAACTGGAATGTGACCAGTGGACTGTGGGCTCGGAACTTGCCTATAGGCCCATGAAGTGAACTGGATCTGGGAGGCCTGTGCCCAAAGGGTTTAGGTCGACCGTATCTCGTATCAAATGGGACTGATCTAGCTTGCGCATCTTTAGGACTGGGCCCGGTCTTTTCTTATTTGGGCCAAGGATGATTTTTGACCCTAATACTAAGGCTCCGTTTGTTTCATTTTTGGGAACCAAAAAAGTTAAACAATAAAATTGCAAAAACTCACAATATTATCCAATATTATTCAACTTTTTTAAAACCCCTAAATTTGTTAATTTAATTAAATACCCCTAAATATTTTTTTTCGAAATTGCAAAAACACCCCTAAACCCACATTATACCAGATTCCGACCACCACTACCGGAAGTTGGCTGAAATCTGATATAATGGCGCACTACCGGCTGAATCTGGCCGGTAGTGCGCTAATCTAGCCTTTTCCGGTCAGATCCACGGTGGATCTGGCCGTTGACGACCAGATCTCTGGCCGTAACTAGACGTCAACGACGGCCAACATATGGTAGTCGTTAACGAGCAAATGCGGCCAGATCCACCGTGGATTTGGCCAGCAAAGGCCATATCGGTGACCGACAAGATCTAGCCGCTCATGTGTCGATACGACGACTCCGGCCACCCTCTGACGGTGGTGGTCGGCTGTGATTATTTAATGGGTGAGTTGGGAGTGTTTTTGTTAATTTTTAAAGTTTTATTATAGGAGTGTTTAGTAAATAAACAAACATAAAAGGTATTTTTATTAATTTTTAAATCCTACGTCGTAATATCCGTCCAATTCAACTTCTTTTAACTTTTTTTTCAAAAAACTTTTCTAAAAAATACAAAAAAGTGAACCAAACGAGCCTAACGCAACGGCCATTACTATTATTATTCTCTACCACGGGACACCGGCGCCCACTTTTACAGAGATTTCGTATAGCAGCACAAATATTAGTCTTGAGAATATGAGACTGGAATGCGATATACATATAACATATACCATTACTTGACAATATTAAAAGTAACACCAGAAGTAGAGGAAACTTCATAACTTGGAAATGGGGGTGTTATAAAAAGTAGCACGAGAAGTACAGGCTAGCTTCCCAGAATTCTTGAATTTAAACTCAATCGCCACCACTGTCAAATTTCTTCCACTCCTCACGACAAAGCCATCAATAATCAACTCCGCCTATGTAGTTGTGCGGTGAGGTATATGTCATTGAAATGCAAAAGTAGGTCACGCATAATGTTGACAGAAAGAAATATAAGCAGACTGCAAGACAAAGGGAACTAAGTCCTAAACGAACTTACATTTTTGGGGGCAGCGGAGAGATAAGATATGCTCAATTCGCCCAGAAATATTTCCTTATCCTCTCCCACAACAGTTCTAGCACAACCAATTGCCATTCGTTCTGATAGAGCTGCAACTGCCCCTCCATGTATTCCACCGTAAAAATTCTGCAAACCCAGACACACCAACGAAAGTACAATAAAACCAAAATAATAATAAATAAGTATTATGGTCACTGGTCAGCGATAAAATCACAATTAATTTCCGTAGCTCAACATATAACTCTTTAATTTCTATCATTTTCTCAGAAACCAAACAAAGATCTGACTTCATTTTCCGAAAACATTAGATGTGATTGTGAAAAGGGGAGAGTGATTACAGCGACAGCGGGTTTGACGGTGAGATGACAAGTGATGTGGCCACGTTGGATTTGGTGAACTTTAAGATGGCCGCCAACAATATTGGAGTAGAAATCCGTTGTAGAATGATTCTCTGGAATCGTAGAAGACACTCCCACACTATTAAAGAAATCGGTGATGTATTTCACGTGCTCGGGATCTGATTCTTCAGAGACTACAGTTGTTGATGTTGTCGACGGTTCCGCCATCGCCTCTCTTTGACTCGATTCGATAAACCAATCTGTGTGGAGTGTGGTCAACTTGTCTCAACCTGTTACTTTAATTCATTACTTTTTGCTTTTAAATTGACATTGGATTTTGGACATCATATCATTGAGCAGGCTGATTTTTTTAGTACTTTCAGACTAATGGGCCTACGATACGGGCCTTCGCTACGGAATCCAGCACTTTGGGGCTAATGGGCCGTCGATACGGAATCAAACCAGATATGACCTTGTATTATACACTAAAATAATGGATTTGTTGACATCCCACTAATAAACTAAAAAAACTCTACTTTTTTTATAAATTTTATAATGATCAACTTATCCCTATATAAATTATTAAAATTAACATTAATTTCTTATTCTTTACATATGCTTTTGACACCGCACCATTATCTCATACACTATGTTTTTTTATGCTATTCAAATCATCTCATATAAATTTATTGTTATTTTTTCTTCAAAGTATTGATAGTTATATATATATATATATATATTTTTGGTGTTATTTCGCTATATTATGTTTTGGGGATTATTTGTTTCTAAATTTTCAATTCAATTATCTACAATTTTATCCTAGCAATAACAATGGTGGGATATGTAGCATAACTGCATAAGTGAAGGAAATAAAATGTTGAATGAAGGGAATTTATAAAATTTATGGGGTGTCATAACCCTCATTTCTTAAAAACCTCATTTCAAAATTTTAAAATTAATTTTTTTTTCTACATTAATTTTAAAACTCCACTTGTAAAAAAAAAAACACCTTATTGGGCAAAATCTGGTCATTATTTAATTTCTGGTCGTAAACAAAATTTAATTAGAAATATAAAAAAGGAAAAAATACAACACATATTTAGAACCCTAAAAATATGTAATAAGGTATTATTCTTGTTTATTACAAATATATAGAATAATAGATATCCAAATATTCACAAATTTATTACGTCATTGTCTAAATTGAATCACTTTAAATCTTCTCTAATTTAAAAAAGGAAAAGCACCCGGGTATTCTCTTTCTGGCCAACCCATAACAAGCATCTGTATATGCACCAAAACAATAATCAATCTACAAAGACAAACAAAGAAGAACATTAGCTAAAACAGAATATCAATGAAGTAAATGGTAATATAATCGTAAAATACACCAGATAATTCTGATGTCATACATTCTCCCCATCAAATGACAATTTGATTTGCTAAGAAAATCTAGAAATATAATCTTACGTATATGCACCGGTTAATCCAAGGATGCTTTTGAAAAGAAGAGGAGACAAAAGTTCAACGTCATCCTCTTGTGCCATATTGACCGGGAAATCCAACTCATATATTAATGACTAATGAGCATTATGAAGATAATAGTATTTACCTTGTTTTCGGTAGTTATGCACAAGTAATGATTCATCTTGGATGATAGTAAAATACAGTTGTTGAGAAATTACAACTTCGAGAAGAAACACTTGATTGCTGCGGCAGCTAACTGGAATGGATAAGACATTTGATTGTAGCTGCTGTCACTGTGTATGTGAAATCATTTATCCATCAGCAGGTACATATATCAACAGCAACAGCCAACACGTGTAGTCTGAGGTATCCTCCTTTGAACTTTTGGTCGCTGCATGGTTCACAAATTAAGGAATACGAACAAAATCTTTGGGATGTACTCGGATGATACAAAAAGCCCATTTTAATTATGTTTGTCACCAGAAGAATCAGCCGCAGTTGGGGCTCTGGTTGCATCTTGCTCTTCATCAAATGCATAATCCAGGCGCTTTCCTACTGACAATAAAGAAGCTGAAGTTTCAAGCTTCCGAGATTTTGGAGGAGACAGGAAAAGTTGCTTAGCACTTGATATAACCATGGAATTGACATCATTGTTTCCACATGGGCCACCACTGTTGGACTTATCCGAATTTTCTTTCGGTAAAGAAGCATCATTATCATTTCCAGTTTGTCTAACAGCTGGAGATTTCCTTTTCATTATAATAGACGGTGCTTTATATGTCCTTGCTAAACTCCTCAATATGGATTCTGGACTCTGGCAGGGAACATATATTCCTTCACTCTGATTTGGCGGGGTAATTGTACTTGACGCATTCTGGATATAGTTATCTGTACTCGGAAATCTACCGGTAGTCAAAAGAGTGCTCAAATCGTTTTGTTGGAGTGGCTCATAGTTTAAGTTACCAAGATTTAATTCCTCTATACTTTCAGAGGCTCTAGGGTAGCTGGTAAAGTGTGTATAATCCTGTGATCTATTAGAAGAATTATCAAGTCTCTTATCATGAATAGAGGGGGAAATATTTCCATCACAACCAGAAGCACTTGGAGGAGTACTAAATGAGAAAGGCAATGACCCAGATAGTCTTCTTGAACGCAAGAAATAGATAAGGTCTCCGGACTCATGCTCAGGGGATCTTTCTTGTAAATTTGGAGATTTCACAAGATCACCGGAAGTAGTGGTACACAACTCATTGGGCTGATAAGCAAAGATATTTAAGTCTCTGGATGTCTGAGCAGTGCCACCACTTTCTTGGCACTGTTCATCGGTCAGGTCACATACAGCAGCACTTTTCTCCTCAAATACCATTCCATTTGGTGGTTTGATTGAATAAATTGCCTCTTTTCCCGTAACTCTACAATCGTTTTTATCTGAAGTTGTTAGATGACTCTCCCTTCCTTCTGGAACACCCAGAGTTAAATCCAGTGAACAAGTATCGGGAATTCTTTCAATATCAAAACTTTGTTTCAGCACCTCAGGGTTCCTGCTTTCTGCTTTCACTTTGAAATTGTATAGATCATAACGAAGAGTTGAAGATAATTCCAATTTCTTACTTACGGAACAGTTCCAATGATTCTTTATTGAATTCTCAGTCCTGCAAATACCAAGAAAAATATGCTCAACCTTGTTCAGATGCAATATCCCAAAGTAAAGTGCAACTTCTTCAGTTTGCCATAAAATTGAACTGGTCAGACTAATGTTAGCTCGTATAAGTAAATGAAACATCAGAGTATGTCTGAACAGGATCTAAATAAGCCAAAACACGTCTTTACTGGATTTCCATAAACATTTTTCATAGCAAAAGAAAGTTCACAAAAAATATTTGGGTTCAGGAAGATATATTAGCATATATAATAGCAGCTTTAATGTTTCTCAAGTAATGCAATAAAACAAGATGCACCCCTTTTTCGGCACCAGTCAAGAGTATTTACTCCTATGTTTTTCCCCATGCTTTCATGTATTTTAGTAAATACCTTCCAGGCAGAAACTTTGCTATCTCAGCCCATTTGTTCCCATACGTTCCATGGCACTTAATAAGAGTTGATTCCTCCTCTTTGGTCCATGCAGTTCTTTTTATATCTGGATTTAAATGGTTGTGCCATCTAAACAGAAAAATCAACAATTAAATAAAAAATCTCTTTCTTCTTTTTAGGAGGAAAGGGTCTAATTTTGAAGAGAAAGATAATATAAGATAGAGCTAAAACAGTGATTGTGCGAAATATAGCTAAAGCAACTAGAAGAGTGAAGGAAATAATGATATTTATCTGCAATAATGCACTAGATGTAGTGAAGAACCTTTCTCGGCATTGCTTGCCTATACGGCCTGGCAAGTGTTTTGCTATCTCAGCCCATTTCTTTTTCCCCTGCTTCTCAACGAGTTCAATTATAAGATCATCTTCCTGGGGATGCAGAGGAAAAAAAAAAAAATGAGAAACAATAATTCTTTTCCCCAAACAAATAGAACTACTATGATTTGATATGAACCTCCTTGGTCCAGGGTCCTTTGACTAGATTAGGATTGAGAACCTTCTGCCAACGATGCAGGCACTGAACATCTGTTCTATCAGGAACACATTCCGCTGCAAAATTATCAAAGTTTATTAGAGCAAAAGTCACCATAACAAACCGAGGATCAGGCATGTGTTGTTACTTACCGATCTTTTTCCAATTTTTGCCCCTGAACTTTTCAACAGCAAATGCTAAAATTTTATCCTGTCAATAAAAGAACAAAGTTATATAAACAGATTCTCAGCTGTCAATTTCAACTTCTTAGCTGAACATCAAACAATTAGAGGTTTTCAAAATACATACCCCACTAACAAAATGACTATGACTGTGTAATAAAGAAGTAACAATTAATATAGACACATATAGCACATGCAATTGATTGAAAACCCAATTGTTCAAGCAAAATAATTAAATAAGAAATACAATTGATCTCTATCTTTTCAAGCGACAACAATCGCGAAAAATAACGTCTACATACTGACCTCCTCCTCTGTCCAGCCTCCCTTTGTCGATCGTCTGGTAGGACCCGTCATCCTCCTAAATATACAACAAAAAACCTTACCATTGTCACAAAAACTTGTGCATTGTAATCAAATATGAAAGACTCTGTACCGACTCTTTAGCATACTAGAGTGTCAAGAAAATTCTACGTATTTTACCGTTGCCAAACAGATACATAAATATTTCTCTTTCTATTCATGAAACCATGCCAATTACCATTAAATAACGGTATAATAAATAATACTTAATACACACGAAGAGAAGAAATAAATAAACAAACCCTAGCATATAGACTTGCTTTACTTCAGCTTTCTCACAAGTAACCACACCCTCCTCCTCCTCCTCCTTTTTGTCATCAAAATCACTCTCTTTAACTTCTCCCATACTTTCACAATGACAATTTTGCCTTAATGAAGCTTTAAATAATAAATACAAAAGCCAAACCCTAAATCATATATTTAAAAAAAACTTAAGGCCAACCTTGTAATTCAAGGTGAATAATGATAATGTCACAACGGTCAAACAAGAAACACAGTAAAGAAAAGAAAGATGAAAGCAAAATCAAAGGAAGCGTTTAGTTTTGAAAGACTCCAAACGCTTCTTAAAACGGTTTATTGATTTGAAAAAAAAGACTGTAACGGCTAAAAAGAAGAAGAAGAAGAAGAAAAAGGAAACAGATAGGGTTGATAGGAGAGTGAGATAATAATTAGAAGAAAACAAATAAAAATTCCGAAAAGATTGTTAAATAGAGAGAGGAAGAGAGAGGATTAGGTTTGGGACTGAGAGAGAGAGAAAAGTTCGCGGGAAGGAGTAGTAGTAATGCAGTAGAGTTTGCGAAAGAAAGAGAGTCCAAACGGCAATAAGATTCAAAATATGAACATGATGGAGACTCTATATAAGGCGCGTACGTTAGAAAGCCAAGGTAGCGATAGTTAAGCCTTATGTGAGGGTCGGTTGGTTCGGACGGATACAGCGCTTCCATGTATACAAACTTCACATACAAGAAACAAATTTAATATTATTTTATTTATTTATTTTTATTCGGATGATATTATTAGTACTGTAGTATAACTCGAAATAATCAACTAAATTAATTTTTTTTATTAAATCATTATTTCAGTTATATATTAATACTACATTACTACATAGGATAATGCATTACTTTGAATAAATATTTTGAGAAATCATTTTAAGATGGGCAACATTAGTTGTTAAGAAAGTAGCTTAGCAAAATAATAATTTTTACCCATCAATGGATAACAATGGATAGCCCACCAGTAAGGACGAACTAAGGAGACTGTAAATGGTTCAATTTGGTCCAACATATAGTCTCATGTTCAATTTTCCATGGACACAAAAATAGTATATTTACCAATGATTTACTTAGAGATTGCGTCTTGAGGACCATGGCGATGGATTGCTATCAGATAGTGGCATGCGTCAATTGACCTAGATACCTTAGTTATTAAATAATAATAATTTGAAAATATTTTTAAAAATATGAAATTATTGGTGAAGAAAGTAGTATAGCAAAATAAGAATATAAATTAAAGAGTAATGTTATGCTTACTCACAATCTTACTAACCATTTTACTATCCTTTGTAAATATAACGTATAGTACGAGTACCATATGTAATTTTAATAAAGATAATAAGACAGTTAGTAAGCTTGGGAGTAAACACAGCATTATTGTAAGTTAAATGTATAAACAATAAAATAAGTAAATATTTGGCTAAAAATAGAACTAAAACAACCAGAAAAGAGAACTTTGGAGCCCATTAGCCCAAAAAAAGATTCGTTAAGTGATGATTCTCAGTACGCGTAAGGGTAAATAGTGGCATCTTCCACACGAAAGTTCTCGTATCATACAAAGATTGGTGGCATCAAGTTCAAGGAGTGATGACTATTTGTATTAAAAGAAAATGTCAAAACTAAAAAGGGACTAGAAGATAATGCTGCTAATGAAGATGGAAAAAAATGGTGCTTAAGTAGCAATTAGTGGTGAAGAAAGGGGATGGAGGTAGGAGGAAATAATGGATATATCTGTCAAATTAGGAAGGATGGGTTTATCGTTTTTGCAGTGGATTTGCTTACCAAGTATCATTTTTTATGCCCAAATAATTCTTCTTCTTATTGTTTTAATAATATTTGATGATAGTATTTAGAACTTTCATGTGGAAAATATCAAAGTTGGCCTCACTATCACTCCTGAGGTAGTTTTCTTCACTAAGATTATCCACTTGATATTTGATTGTATAACATGATCATTAGCTAACAGGTGAAGTGTAGATAATCAAATTGAAAAGAGAATGTCGTATGATCCAGCCAATTTAAAAAAGAAAAAAAATCAATCAACAATTTCATGAATGAAAATTTTAGCAATCTTAAACTTAGTATTATTTGTGTGTCGAGCTCAATACCCCTGTTTCTTATTTGCAAAGAGACAGTGACAAAGAATTCTATGCTGAGTATATTTGTGGCCCGGAAGAGTGTTATTTTCAAATAGTGATATTGTGTTTTGCCAATAGAAATTCCAAGTTTATAATTTGATTGTGTGTTGTGAATTGTGTAACCTCGAGATACTCTTCGAATTGCTGGTTAATAATTATTTTCTGTAATTTATTTTTTCAAAATAGTTCTTGCAATACTAATCGGTTATGACTGCTGGGGACTTTTACATAATTTAGCTTGGCCCAAACCGAAATTGATTGATAACCCAGTAGGCCAGTAGCCCAGAACCATGTAATTTCCCCTTAAATTTTTCCACCTTCTCCGTATCACAAAAGGTGGAACCTTGGAAAGTTTATAAATCTTAGGGATTTTTTTTTTAATTTTTTTTTATTTAAGACATGGATCATATATTCATATAAAGGTAAGGTGCTCAACGAGTACTCCAACAATTTAGGACGTTTAGTTTTTTTTTTTCTCCCAGGGGGATGCTTTTGGTATTAAAGGTGAAAGTTTAACTTTTTACAACATAAGGCTAACATCAATTTTGATAAAAATTAATACATATTTTATTTATACAAAATTTCTGTTTCATTTTCATGTCATCTATTTTTAATTATTAAAATGATTCATGATTTTCGATTGTATTTTCGATAAAGATCAAAATTAAAGTTCACATTTTGCAATGCTACAAAAATACTTTTACCTTGAACACAATTCTAAAGGAGTGGTTCCACTTTATATCTTTTAATGATATTTTAAATTAAAGCAAAATAAATAAATAACTCCATGGACAAATGACTACCCAAGACCTCAAGTTACATCTATTTCCTAATGAAAGTGGATTGTAATTGTCCATAAAGTGACAGTTAATGGGCCACTTACCCTTCAAATTTTGTCGCATCATGTGTGATATGTCCTCTAAATTTCTTTCGTACAAACAAATATAATATAAAAATGATACATAAATTAATGGTCTGATAATCATTAATGGAGTAAAAGAATCAATAGTATTAGGTAGATGTGAAAGCAAGATAAGCATTGTCCATGGAGTTATTTTTCTTTAATTTAAAATATCATTAAAACATGTAAAGTGGAACCACTCCTTCAGAATTGTGTTCAATGTAGAAAGTATTTTTGTAGCATTGCAAAGTGCGAATGGAATATAAATAAGTAAACTTTAATTTTGATCTTTATCGAAAATACAATAAAAAATTATGAATGAATGAATATATATATATATAAAGGATATCCATGCACAGAATTGATGCTCGTGAGCTATGCTATTTACTTCAATTCCCTTCTTTGTTTCTTCATTTAGAGTTGTTATCGTTGTACCCTCCTTAATTTCAAGAAAGGAGAGTTTCTGAAAGCTCCAGACAGCCATGCTACACGATCGAAGAAGAAGAAAAAGAAGAAGGGTTTGTCTTTGTATGCATCTTTATAAGACTAATATTTCCCTTCATAATAACATCCCGTTTATCATTAGCTTCATGCGTAGTTAGTGCAGGAAAAAGCGATTATTATAGCCATTAGTTCATCATTAGTATTGAGAAACCAAGATAACTACGCAAATGAACTAAAGTGTAAGACCGATTCGCACAACTTTTATGACCGCTGCTTGTGGGAAGATATTATATAAATAAAAAACTATTAAGTGGGGATACTGACTACAGAAACAATTTCAGTTATTTTTACTGTGGAAAAATGAAGAGCAGAGCAGTGGCCAGTGAGATAGTGAATTTAAGTGATCGTGTAAATGGCGGGAAAGAACTTTGTGGTTGACATGCATGCGTATAGTCTGTGTGTGTTTGACACCACGTGGCCCTTGTGCTTTTTGCTTCTCATCAGCTATATATATATATATATATATATATATATCCCAGTTCCATGTCTCGTTTTGTACACTGATCAATTCACTTCATTTCTTTCTCTCACGCAGAACAATAACATTAATTGTTCGGTTTTGTTTCTCTTTTAAGCTAAACTTAGATCCATCAAAGAAACAAGACTGATATCTCTTCTTTTCAACCATTTCTTAGAAGCTTGCCTTGTTAATTTTTATTTACAGTACACAAACATTCAGTTAATCATTTTAAAGTAGAGTTGCTTATTTTTCTTGCTCTCTGTGATGGGTGAGAACACTGGCAACAATAACTACCTTCCTCAAAACCAAGTTTTTGATCTTTCCCTTGACGTGCATACTCAAGGCGGCTCCAATTCCTTGGATGATGATGGCCGCCTCAACCGAACTGGTAATTTACTTTTCTTAAAGCAAAAAGTAAATATGTTATGCTTTTAGTAAGTAGAAATGGTACTTCAGTTAACGTCTTTATTAATGATTCTTCTTTTTTCCTTTTTTTGAACCAGGGACTGTTTGGACTGCAAGTGCTCACATAATAACAGCTGGGTCAGGAATTCTGTCCCTGGCTTGGGCCATAGCTCAGCTGGGATGGATAGCGGGGCCAACTGTCATGTTCGTGTTCTCTTTTGTCACTTACTACACTTCTACTCTTCAGCTGGCTGCTTGTTACCGTTCAGGGGATCCTGTTAATGGCAAGAGAGTCTATACTTTCATGAGCGCTGTTCGATCCAAACTTGGTAAATTTCACCCCTGTGAAAATATCTACAAATCTACAATTAAGCAACTGGGTTTCACTCAAATATCTAATTACTTTTTCCCTTTTTTTTTTTTCCACAGGTGGAGTTAAATTTATGATATGTGGGCTTGGTCAATACCTGAATCTTTTTGGTGTTGCCATTGGCTACACAATTGGTTCATCTATGAGCATGATGTAAGTTTTATTTTATTTTTGTTTCTAATTTTATATATAAAAAAAAAAACCCCTAAGTATTCTAAATAGAATTTGATGTTTGTTGTTTTAGTGGCTTAATGAATTTCTGGTTTTGGTCAATCAGGGCTATCGACAGGCCT